TTATCTATTTTCAATTTTTCTCTTTATTATTATTTATTTCACATTAATTTTTGCTTATATTTACTTACATTTACATCTATATTTATATTAACTTACCAGCACAACTGCAACTCTTTTTTTTAAATATGTCCTCCAGCGCGGAACATCTCTTTTTTTTTATTATTCATGACTTTGGTTGCGTCGCCAAGGCTACTTGCGCCATGTCACAGCCGATGATATATATGTTTATTTAGGTCCCTTGCGGAAACTAGTTGAGTTTCTAATCATCTTTTCTTTTCTTTTAGCACGTGCACAGAATGGTTTTTCCGTTGCTTGCGTTCTATATTTGCGCGTGCTACCAGACATTACACGAGTGGAATCAGTAATACACGACGGCCGCGAGTGTGATGAGTGCAGCCACCAACAGCACCAGAACGCGCTCGAAGACCCCGAGGATTAACAGCGGCGAGGAAGATCCAAGGACGCACTGCCCCTCCTGAAGGTGTAATTGTGCAGCAGTGAAAACGGCGCCTTCCTTCCGCTTCGTCATGAAAGACGGTGACCCAAGCTCGAAGAGCGACGACGCGCAGGTAAACACCTCTCCGAAGGCTCTCCCCCTAGCTGATGACTACCGGACCTCCAACCACGGATCTAAGGTGAGGAGAAAGCTCTCAAAGTCCAGGAGCTCCAACAGAGATTGGGCTGCTTTCCTCTCACCATGGCAGTGAGTATGGTGGCACAGCCCTCTCGAACCTCCGGACCCAGGATTCCTACGACGGCGGCGACGACCCAGCACGAGGACAAAGAAGACACTACATCCGTTTAGCAGAAGGAGGAGGATTCCCGCCCGGTTCTGGAAATCCCCTCTTCGACCACTACGAGAAGCTGCCACAGTCGACGAGGAGGGTGACTCGAGCCTGATCACTACCCTTGCCCACCGGCACTACAACACCACAGGTGTATGGACGTAGAGACAGACATCTTGCATCGACCAGCGCCCCTGGAATGGTCCTGCTCATCGTCATACTTGGTAACGGGCCATCTATCAACCCGTCAGGAGGAGCAATTTCGCCATCTTCGGCCACGAGCATGGGGACCAGGGACCGGCGTCCACATACCGCATCATCGTAGAAGCATCCACATGCCGCATCACCGAAAATGCATATCCGCCATCGCCAGTGCCATCCATTGCCGGCGTACCGTCATCGGCGTACTGGCATTTCTTTCCCTCTCCATGGCGAAGCCTCTGGCAGCGGGTAAGGCCGCTATCGGAGCAGAATGCGCGACTACTGTCCTCGCTGGAATGTATTCGTCTCCCTTAAAAGCATGCACTGGGTTTACATGTGAATCTATCTATTATTCCACGTTTGTGCGAAGCCGATTGTCGGGGCCGATTCGATCTTAGGTGCGTTTCACACACTTCGCCACCGAGGGCCACGTTCAAACTAGTCACGACGCCCAAGCAGTCACGATCATTACCGAGCGTCATGCGTTCGTCAGTGATCGGGCACGTACGTCACTTTCACTAAGTTGAATGAATTCGTACCAGAGTCCGAAATTTTCTATCTTCTTGCTTTTTCTTATTTTTACTTTTTTCAGAGGCTGTCTCATTCGCACCACGCTTTTTGTTATTTCTCTGCGGTATACACCACCAATGTGTACTCGCCGCGTGTAAATGTAAGTGCTTGTCGATATGTATTACATTGCAGCGCGCGTAATGCCGCCGGCACAGTAATTTTCTTATTCCGCGCGTAGTGTGGCCTTCGGGAAAATAAGTGTGTACGCGTCTCACAAATTGCAGAGCTGCGCGAGAATACATCTAGCTCTGTAATTTCTTAATAACAAAATGTATCATCTTACCCTAGTGGTAGCTCTGTAAGCGTTTATTGTACCATCCCTCGGGCGGAATGTCCCCGAAGGAAACATTAATTCTCGTAATAAAGTCGTTTTTATGTATCATGCCTGAAATATGCAGTACGAGAAATGAGATTTACATATGACCATTCCAAATTTTTCAAATTAACAACTGTCAAAATATCATAACAAGTTCAAGATCTTATACTATATTATGCAACTCGGAGTTTACAATGAACAACATCTTTTTTTACATAAATATCATCTGATATTATTTATCGGGTCTAAAATATTAATTCTGGTATGTGGAGTGAGGAATACATATGACAATTCAACATTATCTACATTAATTCTGTCAATATATCACATCGATCTGATGGTGGTTATGTTACTATTCACATTGCGGTGTTGAGTATGAAAACGGCTATTTTTTATATAACGGTAATCTACTATTATTTATCGGCCCTGAAATATTACGGTGTTCCGGTACGTGAAATGAGATATACATATGCTTACCTAAAATTCTTGACATCCCCCGTATCGACATATTACCTCAAACTGATGGTCTTATTTTTCTCAACGCTGTGAACCACCAGAAAACTTTTAATAACATAACGACGATCCAACATCATTTATCGACACTGAAATTATTACAGTGTTTCGGTAAAGAGAT